TTGGAGGCAGCCCCAGCTGGGGCTTATATACTAAAGTACAAGTAATTCAGAATGTTCTACTAACTACAAGCAATGTCGTTCTAGTAAGTTCTACGCTGTGCGCGTACTTACTCCAACAAAGACGTTACAGAATCATGAAGAAAGATGGAAATTGCGATACCTAGAAGTACATCTGATCAGTTTAGGTATACCGTGTAGCTAATTCCAAATTGAACCAGCAGGTCGAAGGTAAAAGGGAGGCAGGAGAAGGATACTGGTAGAGAGAGGCGGACATCCGAATTCACTGGAGCACAAGGCGGTAGTATGGTCGAGCGAAAGAAACAGCTGCCCAGCACGAGTAAGCGGGCACCCGGAAGTGAACATGCCGCAGGGCCATCCACTGCAAGGTGACGAAACTCGATAGATTGAACTTAAACCACTGGGGCAAATTTGAGGCAGTTCTCCTCAGGTCCTCTGAAGAGGGAAAGGTCAGGAATGAGATCATGAGAAACGGAGATGGCGAAGGAGAATCATTGATCTTAGGCTCGCGTTTGGTTCTTTCCGAAGCATGCCTGAAACGGCTTGCATAAATCTTTAGCTTGGGGCATATTGCCCAGAGATCCTGAGTCAGAGAAAGTCAGCTGCTCATAACGAAAAGGAGATGGTGGCGTATAACTTCAAGGAGGTACTAGCTTAGTAGCCGAGTGTGAGACGTCAAGTGCAGATTGAAGATAGGAAAACTTACGGTTAACGCCACGCGTGAGAATCAGCGAGAAGTCTGGCAGTCTGAATCATTCAAAGTCTCCTCTCGTATTGCGGGGATACTATCAGCCTCGACTTGAGGGTGTGTCAGACTCAGTAGCAAAGGAAAGAAGGCCGTCGCCACAACGTCCATCCACCTAGCGGTATCTCTTCCCTGGATGCCGGAAAAAGGTACGGCAAAAGCTGCTCAGGAACCCAGCGCTTGGCGGCGCATTGCAGTCGATGGCAGGAAAAGAGAATGGGCCGAACTCTAATCTTCGCGTGCAAACCCAAACCCAAGGACTCCTCTCAAAGGAGCACACAACGTGGCAGTACAGCAAATGCGGCGGATTGTGGATGAGAATCATAGTGGGGCTCGGCCTTGACCGACTGTCTTTGTCAGAGATCTGCATGTTGGACGACGGCTTTCCATCCCAAAAGGTCTATCGGCGTCAGAGAGATTGTGCCATTCTAATCAAAGCAGAAGGAGATCAACCCTGGACATGAGCTGCGCAAGGCTTGATCAGGAACATGGAGCATGTGTGCGACGGACGGCAAAGAACTAGAGTCATCATACCATGCGCTGGTGAGTAGTAGTGGCGGGACAGGGAGATCGATTTTTGCGAATGCATGCGTGGACTGCAACGAGCCGGCGGTCAAGTATCTGAGCTCAGGCGTGTACCAACAGGCACGTAGCCACGCCCTCGGTACACCCATACGCTCCCCACAAGCGGAAAGCTGTAAGCTGTACCAAATACCCATGCATGGCCAGCACGCGGCGGCACCGCGTATGGGTGAAAGATTCGATTGATTGAACTCTGCCATCTTCTGTGTGAGAGCGGGCCACGGCAGCACTCCAGCAACGTCCTGAAATAGGAAGCCCGAGGATGGGCGAGAAGAGGATTGACTTTCATCTTAGATTAGCAAGAATGTAGGAGAGTCAGGGCTCCGAGTCGTTCTGTTCTCCCAATGTATGTATGTGTGCTAGCCGAATCAAGAATACACGAAACCGGAGAGGTGGGGCCACAATCATGGCATGAGAAGGAGAGTCCAATCCCAGCACAGGCTGCGGGTTGGGGTTGGAATGCTCGCATGCACTCGCTGGGGTGACGCGAAGGGCGATGGGAAAGAAGTTTAAATGTGGCCGAGAGCAGTATCATGAACGTGTTAACGGGTAAAAGCTCGTCGCCACACATATGCGTGCGAACTATGGGCCGAGAGGTAGGTTCTGCCTCGATGACGCTGCAAGAGACGCCAGGCAGCAGCCAGGCAGACCGCAGGCGATAGACGCGGACTCATGGGCGCTTACAGCGCTCATGTGGCGAGCAGACATGGTCAACACCGTCGACGCACCCCGCAGCTGCAGCGCCAAGGAATGAGTGTCAAGGAGGCGGCGAATAGACAGACGATCTCGACAGCGGGTTAAAAAGCAGCATCGTTGACACAGTATATGCAAACTTGCCTCATACTTCATCGACATCGATTGCGCGTGTGGCGAGGTGGCTTGCGCAGAGTTTGAGTAGCAGAGAAGAATCGAATGAAGGCTCATGCTCATTGTGGTACTTAGTAGCGACCGGTTGAGGGTGGTGGAGCGGCTGCAGTGACAGAAACCCCCTAGCCTAAGAAGGAGGTATTCAACGGCAGGAGTTTTGTAACTCAAATTTGAACATGATAACCGACATTAAACGTATATATTTAGTTCGAAGGATTTTGTTGAGGGGAGTCGGCGCAGGTTGCAGCACCTTGTGAGGTGGTAAGTAGACGACGACGATGAGTATTTGAGTAGGAAAGGTGGAGGCGGGCTATCGGGCCGATTGCCAGCGGAATTTTCCCGTGAAAATTAACTTATGTCATGACGTCTGAAACTGCCTTACTACTACTCCCATGCCTCCAATCCAAGATCCAACACATATCAGCAGTCGCGTCGTGATAACTATGCATGTTCGACGTGCCTATCGTTCGTCTCGTCAGCTGCCCACCGTGGCTCTCATGAAGCCCCAGCTCAGCAGCTCGATTCTCAGGGAGTGTGCACCCCGTTTCTTCCAACTGTCGCGCGCTCGAAGCACCATCACTCGCTGTCTCGCTCGATGCCTCCCTTTTCCACAGCTCTCGGCAATGCAAGCACTGATGTAGAATATCCCATGTCAACGTGTCGACGTCCGTCGCCATCCCTCTCATCAGTGAGACCATGTGTCGTATTCCAATCTACAGATCAAACAGACTATCTACACCTCCACATCATGATGTTCAACTGGGTCAATCTACTACTTGGAAACCCTTCCTAGGATACTAAGGGATACCAGGAGATCCTTATTCTGGCGTACCGTTGTGCGAGAAGGTGCCAATCGTGCGCGTGAGTGGCCACCACACACTGTGTTCACCTTCAACAACGACGGCTCAGCGCTCAGCTCCTGATGTCGAAGGTGTCATATAGAGTCAACCCGGGAAATCTCCTTACATCGCTGGCGGGCGTGAAGTGATGCGTCGATAGGGAATGGCAGCGATGATCATCCATGGACCTTGGACGATATCTAACGTGAGTTGCCTTCATGTCGACGTCTATTCTGCTCCTGCTGCTGCTCGATCCCGAAGCGCTTTTTCTCTTTGCATCTCCAGTTCTTCCTCCAGCTTCTTTCTTGGGTCGTGTGTGCTGATACTCTACTCATTTCATGGGTTCTACACATTCCTCGTTCATCTCCTCACAATCCTCCAATTTGGGCCTCAGCCTCGCGTGCCACTCAGCGCTCCGTGTGTTCACTTTTCCCGTGGTGGGAAAAATTCATCCCCTTTCCTCCCTGCCTTCTTCGTTCTTTCTCTCTCTCACTTTGTCTTTCGCCTTACCACACCGCACGAATCCTGACCAGCAGGCTGCACTGGCGTGTCGCGACTTGTGATCGCGTCACTGCAGCGTCGGCGCTTCAAACTTCAGCTCTCAATGAATTATGTGGTGCGATAGTCAGTGCACTCAGGATGAACATAGGCCAATACTAGACCTTCTGTCTGTGAGAGAGTAGCCTAACCCACCTGAATTATCCGCATCGTTGCTCGTATATCAACCATGGACTCTTACCATTAGATCTTTGATCTGTACTACGTCCGCACGCCGGGAAATGTATCACACAGACCGGTACCCAATACGGGCGGCGACATCGCTCCTTCAGCATGTACAGTATAGGAAAATAGAGCTGTTACAGTAAATCCCAGACACGTTACAGTGGCCGCACAGGAGTGGAACAGGAGCGTTACATCCGGTACAGTAACAACAGGATTGTGCACAGTAGTGATCCGCTACTGTAACCGCGGTCACATCATGTCACACTGAGTCACAATCGTGTACCGAGTTCGTGTCCAGTATGTACTGTAAGAAGAGCCTTGACTTTCGCCTGTCAGGTTGAACAAGAGCTCCTGCTGACCCGCTCTTCACTCTATCACCAGATAATGAAAGCGCTGCTCATGCAATAAACACGGATGTGACGCCGGATCGATAATCACGCACTCATGCACGTATATCCAGAGTACTATACTCGACCTGAAAGCTCTCAGGACTCATTCTCAGCATGCGCCAGTCCATGTAGTCATTCTACTCACCGTGCCTTTGCTGTGAACTCAGTGTCCCCGGACTTTGGATGTGTCAATCCAATGCGAGCGTACATGAGGGGTGTCACGCGTACAGTAAAGTATGTCACGCTCCTGTACACCCGTACAGGAGAGTACAGGAGTACATTAGGGCCGTACATGAAAAACACAGTGCCCTTCCATCGCACTATTGCTCATGGCAACTTCATTTCGTACTTATCAAACTCATTGTGCTAGCCTTTGTGGACTACCAAGCATGTTAGCGGAAGAAGTTGCGTTGTCCGTTCCACCGCTTTCGTATCTTACCACGTAGCTGTTCTTCACGACGTAGATGTGTGTCACATTATGCCTAAGGCTACCACCTAAGCTAAGACAGTGGCCGCGCCGAGTACACTGTATACGTACCGGATATATACTGTAGCCATGCGGCTTGGAATTGGCTGCATGTCGCGAACTATTGCAACCAGCAGAATCTCAAACTTCTCACAGATCACATACAATGTACCGTGTACGCTGGTTGCAGTCTACATCTCAAACGCTCCGAGTACGGCCCCAATTCTTCGCTGCGTTAATGCAAAAGCTTCCTGACGCTTACCGCTTGAGGCATTGATATTATAATAACGAGAATTCTGAATCGGAGATTGATGTTCTAACTTGTTCGGGTCAAAAGGCGCACTCTTACCAGGGACCGCAAAAATCGCATGCGAGCACCGCAGGGCTCGAACCTGCAGCCTTCTGGTATGACGCTGTCGTAACTGTTGCACCGGACCCAGATGCGCTACCATTGCGCCAGGCGCCCATTGTGGGAGAATATTTAATATGCTTCATAAAGTCAAAAAGACAGGAGACTATGTACTCTGGTTTGAGCAGGATCACTTGCCTTCACTCACTTTTCTCGGCCTTACCACCATCATGAACAACTGCATTACAATGCGCATTGACCCCCCTCGCTCAAAGAGACACAGCTTCTCTCCTCATTCAGGATGGAATCACATTTTGCCTCAGAGTGAGGTTTCTGCGCAACTTGAGTCCCACAAGACCGAAACAAATCTACCGGTGGCAAGGTCGGTGGAATTATGGGCGGAGTGTAGACAAGGTTACTGGCGGCAGTTGTACCACAAGTTGTTGGCTTCTCTTAGGTGGACTGAGACACCGTCAGTGGTATCGTATGCGTGCAGGAGCTGCGTGCAGTTGGTTGGTGCATTGATTGGTTTGGTGACAACTGGAATTGATTCCCGCAAAGCGGTGCGTGGTGTCTCAGGAGAGTCTGGCGGAGCGGCGTATGACAGAGACGTGGTGGCGGATAGCCTGCAAGAGCACCTCTAGCCACAAGGTGCCGGTGCAGTAGCAATCTTGACCTAATGTCATGAGCGTAGTGAGAGAGAATCTGGTCCCAACAATAAAGAATAAATAACCACAGTAACAAAGACAGGATAACTAGATACGCACCTGGTCCCAACAATAAAGAGGTCAAGATGGGGACCAGGTAACCAATCGGCAATACTTATATACTAGAAGAGCAAGGCAGTGCGCCGAGCGACAATGAACAAGCAAGCGCAGCTCAAGACATAGCCGGAAGGTTCTGGAACCTTGTACATGATGAACAATCACATGAGCAAAAACCGGATCAAGAACATGATAGAAAGATGAAGAGTCCGTGATGCAATCAGAGATAACCAGAGAGATAAACAGACAAAAGGAAAAGAGACTGAGTCCTTGTACCACTTCACAACAAGATTGAAATGCTAAATGTGCTGAACTGCGTAATCGTCGGTACAATCTGGAGTAAGGGCTCGACAGATCTAAAGGATTAAAAGCAATCTTATAATCCGGACGCTTAATGTGCAGGCTACGAGGCCGACTACACACGCACTATTCCCAGAGACCAACAAGAATGAGATTCAAAGCGTAAATACAGTTGTACAAAGAGACGCACCTATTCCCAGAGACCAACAAGAGGTCAAGATGGGAAAAGGGGGTTTACTCTACAGATTGTCCATATATCTAAGAGTGTTTATGCAGCATTGACGCAGTCGATGCGATGCTCCAAAACAATAATCAAGAAATGATGAAACTAAAAGGAACACATGCGCGAATGGGAATCAGAGGCCATCGAGTACTCTAAATCAAACGAAAAGGGAGAAATCAGGCAGAGTCCATAGTCAAGCAGAGTCCGTCTGTGTACCACTTCACCACACTAAATGACAACAGAGCAAAAACCCACCTATTCCCAAAGACTACAAAGAGGTCAAGATGGGAAAAGGGGGATGTTTGAAATACAAGCTAGTATAAGGGGGAAAGTACATCAGAGAGCAATGATGGGAACAATTACGGAAAGCAATCACAAGGTGATGCAAAATGAAAACAAACAATCACAGGCTGATGGAAAGGAGAAACTCTGGAGAAATAGAAAAGAGAAATACACTAAGTTCCACTCCTTCTCTACAACACTCTCAACCACTTCATCCCAGACACCAGCTGCACACTGGTGTAAGCCAGATACAGAAGTAAGTTCATATGGGAGATGGCCAGGCCAAAGAATTATTGGAGGTACATGTGTATGTAGCACAGAGTATGATAGTACCAGCAGCATACAGGTAGATAGCCTGTCAGACTCACACCAATAATAACCTTGAGGGACAGAGCTTAGGGGCAATACTAAGTGATGGAGGGCAAGATGGAGCAAAAGGAATTATCATAAGAGCGAGCAAAGTGGGCCTTAAACACTAGATACATGAGGGAGTAATATAACTGTGTCTAAGAGGTGCTAAGTCTGCATCTGCAAGTCATGAGACGCTGGTATGCTAAGATACAGTGATGGCATGATGAGAGTAATGAGAATCACCTGTAAAGTACCTGTTGTAAGACCCTGGGGATGATCTGCAAGGCAGCATGCCAAGTAGTCTAGTAACGAAGTTGAATAATGAGCACAATGAGGCCGTGAGCATGCATACCTAGTAATGAAGTGGATAAAACTAAAGAGCAACATCACGTGATGGTTGGCAACACGTAACCCGCGCACGTGCTCAATGCGCGGGCCGCCACCATCAACGCGCGCCACTCTTCAGCCATCCACTGCCGCTACATCTACTCTACAAGGCTAAGTACGCTATGTATCATAACAGTTAAGTGAGTCACATGATTCTTACCTTTCTTCACTTTGCCCACCCACGCAGCTCACTCATGCGGGACTCTTGTCCACGGACCTTTCTGTGTTTCTACCAGCCTGGATCAGAAAAGTCAACCCTTCAGATCCCTCTAAACAAGATTTTACCAGATTCACTGCCGCTTGTCACAGGCTTGCCTTTAGTTGTGAGGCTTCCACTTGCTTGGCCTTTACCTGACCACTGAGATGCCCTGCTCTTAGCCAGTGTAAGTGACCATAGCCTTACCCCCAAGCTATACATCAAGCTCGCTGAGTGACGTGCTCCCCTCAATCAGCTCAAACGCTGAGCTCAAAAGCCAAAGGGTGTGTTCTCCCGCGTGTATCATCTAACATCCACCTACTGTCCTCTAGTCCCATGTCCCTTTCTTCCCAGTCCCAATGGACTTTGCACTTGACTCTAAACAGGACTGGATGGTGTTGTTGGAGGACATTAGTGAATAGCTGGCCGCTTTGACCAATAACTCTAG